CTTTTGATGGGATTACTTGTTGGAATTGAATTGGGGTTGTTTTTTTGTGGACAAGTTCTCTTATTGTGCCCTTTGTTGTTGCAAATTTTGCATGTCATCTCCATCCCATGCCTTGTCAACTTACCTGGCTTTTTTGGATCTTCATGTGGGTCTTTAGCTCTATTCTTGCGAGGCCTGCCTGGTCCTATTTTTATTGGTGGAGGATCCAATTCTACTCCGACAGTCCTAGGCCAGTGTTTTTCACCAACACACGGAGGTATATTGTGCTCATACGACTTGATATATGTGCTCTTTTTGTAGCAATCATCAACATACTCTTCAGGTATTTTATTTAAGAAATAAATGCAAGCACAAGCATGATGACAAGGAATTCCAGTGAGGTCCCACTTTCTACATGTACATGTCCTACTCTCTACATTAACAGAAACATCATCTAGTTTATCCCTAACTTGAAACAACATAAGAGAAGATGGCATGACATGGCAGTGGTGAACAAACTCTTTCTCCTTTTCAAGTTTTTTTTGGATTCTAGGGCAAATAGTGTAATGACTCCCAACAGCATGTGCTCTTTTATTAGCCAGTCTTTGCATCAAAGCAATCCTAATGTCTTCTAACATATCAATCACATGTTTAGCCCTTGCATTTATGATGTATCCATTAAAAGTTTCAGCCATATTATTAACAATGACATCACATTTAGTGATTGTCTTGACAAAGCACCTACAAAATGTTTTTGGATTTGCTTTGAGGAAAGCACTGGCAGCAGCTTCTGCGATTACCTTCATCTCATTCAATGCAGCTTTATAATCAGCCTCTGAATATGCCCTTGCAGCCTTCCAGAATACAACCTTCAAGTCATCACCCTTAAATGATTTGTGCAAGTTAGCATAGATGTGTCTAGCACAATTTCTATGCTCTGCTTTAGGAAAAATCTCAGCAACAGCCTTAAGCAAACCCTAAAATGTAAAAGAAAGTATATATTATTAAACTTATTGGGAACATAAAGTCAAACATTAACACATAACTTAATTATAGGATACCTTTTGTTGGTCAGACATAAACGTCCACTCTTCACCACATTGACCATCCAAACACTGTTTAAACTCCTTCATGAACCAGCTCCAAGACTCATTGTTTTCTCCCTCAACCACAGCCCAAGCTATAGGGAACATCTGGTCATTGGCATCTCTACCGACTGCTGTTAAAAGCATTCCACCTAAGAAAGTCTTTAAGAAACAACCATCAAAGCATATCACTTTTCTACAACCACCTAAGAACCCATTCTTCAATGCCTCAAAACAGACAAATAGTCTTCTAAATTCAGGAGCTCCAACTCTAACTCTTTGTATGCCTTGTCCTTTCATAATGTTTCTGACTACAAGTTTAAGGACTGTATTAGGGCTAGATGAATGTAATGCTGCCATATATACAGGTAATTTCTGATAATGTTCCTTCATTGACCCATGAAGCATTTTATGTGCCCACCACTTAGCTTTATATGCAACACACTTTGTGATGAAGTACTTGAACTTCTCCTTTACAGCTTCTTGAATGTCTTTCGCTGGCCAATGTGGTTTGGCCTTAAAAACATCCAAAAACTCTTTACCTATCCAACGAGAAGCAAGTTGACTATTGTTCTTCATGTCTCTATGACAAGTATGTGTGCCTGTCACTTTTTTCACGATATACGAGCCTTTTCTAGAATGCCATGATCCCATTATTTCAAATGGACAATTTTCAACA